TTTTGCTTTTCTTTATTTGCATTTTTTTAATAATTTTTTCTTTTTCCTTATTTTTTTTTCTTATCCTTAGTTATAGACACATATTTTTTAAGTTTCCTTTAGTCATTTTTTAACGCTTAACTTTTAATAACTTTTTATTTATTTTTGTACATTTTTGTTTGCCAGCTTGTAGCTGCCAGCTTTTGTGCATTTTCCATATTTGTATACATTTCTTCAGCCAGCACAGCGGCCGCATTCACTCGACTGCGTGCTTGCAAGGAGCCAACGCACGTGTATATATGCATGCTTATAGGAATTCGTGTGCGTGTATGTGTGTGTGACAGGACTACGAATGCTTACAACTACAGACATTTTCACCTTTGCCTTGCGAAAATTTTGCAAACATTTCGCTTTTCGTCACTGCACAGACTATATAAGTTATGTATGAGTATATGTAAATATCTACGCGTGTGTGTGTGTATGTAATCGTGTATATGTGTATTTACAGTATTCACGACGTTTCTTCTAGCATTTTTTATACTTTTTCACATAGTGCACTGCAATATTTACCCCATGAACGCCGCAACTGCTGAAGTAAATTGCGATTTCACACAAAACTTTGCATTTTCGTCGCACAAATTCGCACGTTTACCGTTTGAAAATGATTTTGCACAACTTGTTAGATAAACGATTTCAATTTTGCCACATTTCCTGCATTTTATTGGCCACTTTTCCAACACTTTCTCGATTTAACAGCCTGTCTTGACTGTGTGTATCAGACAGAAACTAGAAATTTTCGATTCCGATTTTTGCGCGCTGCTGCTGCTGCGCATACGGCCGCCGACGCTGAGAGACTGAACCTTCGTTCAGCGCGACACTCAGCACCAAGTCGCTGGCAATTAAAGCACAGCGACTCGTCGAAACAACAACAGACGCAACAAACAACGAACGAGCGACTATGTGTTTGTGAGCTGTGCAAAAACACATAGCAAAGCGAAAAGCTCGCCACGCGCTTAACGCTCACTGCGACGAAAGCTCTGCGGTGTGCTAAGGGCAGCATGCGTTACAAAGGCGAGTGCAGTGATAAAAAAATACTAATAAAATTAAAAGAGCGCCGCTGTGAGAACGATTGCGAGCGCGAGCGCGGTGTGCTGGGGGTTGCATATACCGTTGCTTTGTCGTTGCCACTGATAGCATTGCTACCTGCGTAATCATTATTTTATTTGTCTACTTTTGCGCCGCGTGAGCACGACGCAGTTGTTGCTGCTGGCGCTCCAGCTCCCCCTCTTCGGCCGTCTCGCGTTGGCTTCATTCAAGCAGCTGCCACCTAATTAGACACCTTCTTTGCTGTTGCTGTTGGTCGCGCCATTGAAATATTTTTGCAACTTGTGCAAATAGACAATTTGTGGGCTCACTCTTACAAACAAACATATGTTTGTATGTAAGTCAGGCACACATATGCGAAAAGTGTTATATGTAAATGTGTATGTATGTAATATGGAGAACTGGAGTATAAATAACGCTATTTCATATGATAGAAGCTGATGTTTAAGAAACGTGACATTACGCGCTACTTGGTTATACCCTTTACATACATGATTTATGTATTTTTCTTAAAAAATATTTTTCTATGAAATTTTTTTATAATTTTTTAAAAATATTTTTTTTTTTGGATTATTCACTGTTTTTTTTTTTACAGAAAAGAAATTCGGAATACATTTCAAATATCTAAAAAAAAAAAAAATTACGGTATTTTAGTTCCTGTCTCTTATACACATCTAAAAAATATTTTTCTATGAAATTTTTTTATAATTTTTTAAAAATATTTTTTTTTTTTGGATTATTCACTGTTTTTTTTTTTTTGGATTTACTAGTAAAATTTACAATAGTAAAGTATATGCCATCAGAAAATATTCTTTAAAAGTTCAGATATTTTGGCGTAAAAATTAGGCCCTTTTACCGATATTAAGTCAAAAATAAAGATTTTTAATCAAAACGTCAAGAAAAAACGTTAATTTTGCCAAATCGTAGCATACAAGCATTTCTAAGAAGGGTTTAAAATTTTTTTTTTTTCTTAATTTTATATAGGTTAGTTTGTATGGCAGCTTACATAGTTACTTTGGTAACTAATCTATGCCCAAATTCGTGAAGGTATCTCGTTAAATAAAAATATTTTACGTACAAAGACTAGATTTTGATTGGTCAGTTTGTATGACAGCTACATGCTCCATTGGTCCGATATGGACGATTCCGAAAAATGAGCAGCTTCTTGGAAATAAAAATAAGTCTGCATAAATTTTAGATTGATATCTTAAAAACTGAGGGACTAGCTATGCTTTTTTGGTTTCAAAAATAATCGACTCTGTTTAAAATAACCTGAACTCGAAGTTGCAGATTTTAATAAGTTCATAAAGTAATATAAACAATTTTTTTATTTTGAAATTGAGATGAAATACCGCTATTCATACAAAGTCAAAATTTAGCCTTTTTAAAAAACGTAACCAATATATGAGTTACTTCTAACTTTCTCAATAAACTACTCTAAAAATCATAATTTCTTACACTGTTTACAATACATACAGTAAGGACAAATTCGCAGAAAAAAGTACCGACAAAATATACACAAAAGCTTTCAAAGAAAAAAAATTTTATCTCATGCGTTCAACGTATCCACCATCGAGTTTCTGTAATGGTTTGGTGGGAGTCTCACTTCTGTGAAAACGTAGTGCAAACTTGTAACAGAACTTATGGTAGGACAATGTAATAAAAAGCTGTTTGCAGTAAAATTGATCAACTCGTATTAGAATATATGTGAAAAATATGAAAAATGTACCCGAAAATTGTAAATAAAATGTAAAGTATTTAATTATTCATCAATATTTTTTTTTTATGCGACTTCAAGGTGATCTCCACCAGATATACCAATTCCTGCCGTTTTCAACGGCAAATATATGATGCGCCAAACCACGAATACCGAAGATAACAATGGGAGGCCCGATGCTTTTTCTGGTTTCGTCTTCTTGGGAGTCAGATTGCAATATTTTTTAATAAAAATTTTGAATTAAATTTCAGTTTTCAATTTTTAGTTTCGATTTTAAAAATAAAAATTTTAATTAAAAGTTAAACATATAATTTTTATTTCAAATGTTGATTAAAAATTAAGTTTTTAGTTGAACCAAAGCCAGATTGAAAAAGAGAATTAATCCCAAGTAAAAAAATGTATCTAAAATAACGTTAAAGTTTTTTAATAAAAAAATTAATAATTA